CCCTGCTGTGCGGGCCTCAAAGTTTTGCCCTTTCCCTAGTGAGCAGTCAGCAGGTTTACTGGGAGCAGTCTTCGGGCTTCAAAGTCTCCACTCGCAGAGAGCATAGCAGGGCGTTGTTCCCTGCGCCAGCACGAAGTTGAGTTGAAGGGAAAGCGTCGCTCCCTGCGCCTTGTTGAGGGGAGTGCGTGGGCCCCGCGCTAAAGGTACCGAATTGAGGGGCGCTGCTCTGTGCAAGGTGAGGTTGAGGAACCCCTGGGCTGTGAGGGCTTGAGGCTAGGCACTTTACGGCATGCCGCCTCGCCTAGCTTCACTGAGTGACCTCGCCTCAGGGCTGAGGTCACTGCAAGCTGAGTGCCAGACTGAGGGTAGTGTCAGTTAGTTTGTACAGCTTTCACCTCTCACTGTTCGGCTTGAGCACCTGTCAGGGTTTGTCTTTCCCAAAAGGGCTTGAGGAGTCTTGTCACTCTCCTTGCCAGTACAGTAGGGCTCTGACAGAGTGCTTTCTTGGGGCTGAGGTCTTTTTGACTTCGCCCAGGGTCTGTGCAGGACTAGGTTGTGCATACCACTTAATTCGGTGCAGCTTTTCGGACAGGCCTCTGGCCGTGGACAAGCGCCACTGGAATGAAAATCCCATTTTCAGGCCTCTGGCCGTGGACAAGCGCCACTGGAATGAAAATCCCATTTGCCTTAGGGAAGCCGTAGCCTTTGTAGGCTTTTTCCTTTTAGGGCCCTTTCCCCCCTAGGACGCTAACACCTTCCTCAGTCGCAGTTTTCCCCAAGCCTCTTAAGCGCAGTAGCTGCAGCCATGGCCCACGCGCACCTCTCGCTTCCCCGGCCTTAGCCCTCTCCCTGTCGAGATGGGCTGGGAATGGGAAAGGAGGTGGTGCTACCACTCCTGGAGATGGGTCTGGCGAATGGTTTGGAACGGACCAGAACCGTTTGGGGCTGACTTCTGGGAGCCCCCAGCCGAGCCCTCAGCAGATCAGACCGCCGGTCACAGCTCCTCGGGAGCTTGTGGTGATACCGGCGGCTCTGATGGTCCCACCACCGGGTGGCAGGACTGGCAAGGTTGGTGGGAAGAGTGGGACTGGACCGACCAGGCTGGCGACACCGGTGCCAGCGGGTCCAGGGACGTCCCACCCGCCTCCTCTGAAGGGCGTGGTCGCTCCACCCCTTCAAAAGGGCGAGGCAAACAGCCCTCCGTCCACAGGGAGGACAAGGCCCTCGTCCAGGCCTACCGGAAGCATGTGGACGAGCGTGCCAAGAAAAACCCCGATGCGAGGCGGGTTTCGGTTTCCAGCTTTGTGCGGAACCGGAAACGTCCCCCTCGCAGCCAGAGGGAGGCCCTAAAGGCCGAAAGGGAAGGGTCCGACCCTCCCAAGGCCTCGGTGGACGGCAAGCCGCCCAGAGTCCGCACCCCTCCGCCTTCCAGGCGGACGGGCGGCAATAGCAAAGGGGCGGCAAAGGCTGTGAAAGCCTCTACAAGCTCCACGGAAAGCTCCGAGAGCAGCCCCCCGACGGCACCGACAGAGCCTCAGGAGCCCGAAGACCAGGAAGAGATGCTGCCCTGGTCCCGCCGTATCGTTCAGAAAACGACGGCAAAGTCGTCGGCCAGGGCCAGGTCGGCCAACGACCCACCCAGCAGCTCTGGAGAGGAGATGGAGCCTGACCCACCCTCAGCTGCGCCGGGTCCCAGTGCCGTGAAGGCACCCTCCGAGCAGGAGGCCACCGAGGTGCCCACAGCCTCACCCATGGAGGAGGTGCCTGCCAAAGACGAGACCACCACTAAGGATGACCCCATTTCCGGGGATCCGGTCTCAACAGGCTCAACCTCCCCTTCTAGGGTCGAGGAAGGAACAGGTGGTCCGGCCACCAGCCGCGACACGTCCTCCGCGGGACCTGCTGGCACAGCCAGTGAGCAGGATCCTGCTCCTCAGGAGGCGCCACCTAAGGTTCCGGGGCGTGAGACCCCGCCTGCTGGCCCCCCGGTCTCCTACGGCCCAGGGGAGGGGACCCAGAGGGAGCACCTGGCACCTGCCAGTGCACCGAGGGTTGAGGAGCCTCCTCCCCTCCCTCCTCCTCCCCATCCTTCCGAGGGAGGAGCAGCCCCTCGCAAGAGAAACAGGGGCGATGTCCCAGGCGGTGCCCCGGCGGCGACCCAGTTCATGCGCCTCGACATAGAGTGTCGCCAACCGCCGGAGGCGAGATGGATCGCCCTGGCAGTGAAGCCCTCCGCCCTTGCCTCTGAGGTGCGCAGCCTGTGCCGCAACAGGCTCAAGCGAGGGGGCTTGGACTGCCTCCAGGTCTGGCCAGACGAGGCGGTCCTGGACCTGCGGTTGCCCATGGGCGACCAACTCGCGAGGGTGAAAGGACCCTCATGGCTACTGGGCCTTCGGCCCCGCAGCCGGGCCAGCGAGCCCTCCCTCAGCGAGGCCGCGGGGTCTACAGGAGGGACGGGGTGCCCCCCCCCTCAAGAGCCTTCTTCGGATTCAGCTCTTGTAGAGGATGTGGAGGCACCACCCTCGTATGGACCCCACCGTGCAGTCCACAGCCCGGATGGGCTCTTTTGTTACGCTTGTAGGGTCGGGTGCCCTACAATCGAACATATGCAAGCCCATTTCATGACCCCCGGGCATCAGGAGCGGGTCAGGAGGTTTTTGGCCTCCTAGCCTCCCCTCTCCTTTGCAGAGGCAGGAGGCTCTGCAGGGTGAAGGGTTCCTCCCCTCCGGGTGAGGCTCCCTCCCTGTAGGACTTTCGTCCTGTTTCACTGGGATGTGGCTCCCCACTCCCAGGAAGTGGCTACCCACTCCTGCCAGTAGCTCAGGTAGGTCAGGCAACCTGTAGCTCAGGGTAGGAGTAGCCACTGCCGCCACTTTGGCGATGCCCGCAAACGCGGATGACTCCAAAATACTTGGAGTTAATTTGTGCATGTCGGACAAGCCTACGGGCTGCTTCTGCGAAGCGTGCGCGAGAAAATCCCATTTGGCTCAAGTTTTCGGCTCAGACGTTGCAGTGCCGTCGTGGCCAGCCTTGGGGCCTACTTTTCTAGAGGTTCCAAAGAGGCCCCAAACCCAACCACTAGAGGTCGTAGGCCAGACAGCTGGCAAGGGTTTGGTGGGCGGCCCGGTAGGCTGTACTGCACGTGCTGTGCCAGGCGCTCCGCCTGAGCTCGGCAGTCCTTTTCCCCTCGCTGCGCGCACTCCCTCGCCGTCTGGGGCTTGCACAGTTGCTCCCGGACTGGCTAGAGGCTTGTGCTTTTCGTGCAGCTGGAGGCCTGCCTAGCCCCTCGCCCGAGGCTGAGGTTCCCTCACCTATGGGTCGAGGTATGGTGCAACGCGCCTACCACGTTTGCAAGCGCTGTCAGAAGGCGTGGGTTTGGGTTGATGAGTTGTGGAAGCACCCCAACTGCCCGGCCTGCCAGGCTCGGTTCCCGAAACCCCCTGGCCAAGGTAGTGGTTCTCCCACACCGTCCCAGTCTCCAACGAGAACCCCACGCAGGCGCTCTTCCCGTCCCCGCAGCCAGGTCACCTTTGATGACGAGGCTGAGGTTGGGGACTCCTCGCCTGATGAGCCCTCCCCTCCTCGCCCCACGAAGGCCCAGGACGACCGTTCCAAGAGGAACACCCGCATCCTTAAGTCCCTTCGCAGGGTGTGGGGTGACCTGCCTGCTGAGGCAAAATCCCAGCTCAACGACGCCGGTTTCGAGGCCCCCCAGGCGGCCGACATTGAGATGGAGCCTGACCTGCTCACCTTGCTCCAAGAGAATCTGGAGCACCTCCCGGAATGTATCCGTCAGGCCTTGCCCCCTCCTCTGCCAGAGCCTGTGCCGGATCCCCTCAAAGAAGGACGTGAATCGGGCAACGCCTTGAGGCGCTCGATTCTGAAGCTGAAGCAGTTGGGCCAGGAAAAATTGCGGCTGCAGGAGGACATCAACAAGACGAAGTCTAAGCTTCACGACCTGCTTCGCAGCATGCAATCCCTCCAGAAGGCGATCTCGGAGGCCACCGACGTAGCCCGCAAGTGTTCGGATGCTTACGAAACTGGGGTCCTGCTCCACGCTCCCAAGAGCGAGGTTGATCTCGTCTTGGAGGCCCTCGGCTTGTCGCCTGAGGCTCTGACCGAGACCCAAAGGGCCAACCTACAGGCCCTCCGCACTCCGGCCAAACCGCTCGCGGAAGTGTCAGCCCCTCCCGGGCTCGGGCCTACACCCTTCCAGTTTGGGCCGGTGCCCGCTCAGACCGAGGAAAAGGCTGACGATGCCCTTGAGGACGAACCCAAGGATCCCCCGGAGCATCCGGGCAGTCGGCCGGCTGCCCCTGCCACACCTGCCAAGACCCGCAGCCGATCCCCATCTCGTCTCCCTCCTGCTTCTGAGGCTGAGTCTAAGGGCTCGTAGGATGGTGGTAGGGGTTTGGGGGTGGATTTTTGCGGGCCTCTTGGCTTTGTTTCGACCTCCCCGGGCCCTGGTGTTTCCACTCCTGACCCTGCACCCACCACGCTTGTTTTTCCCTCCCCTGTCCCTTCCCCCCGCGGCCAAACCGTTTCGGGGCCTGAGGTTCAGGGTCGCTACTTTTCCCTTTTGCCGTCGGGCCAACTGCCCGTGGCACAACTCCTTCCGGGCGAGGGGTACTGGCCAACCTCTTTCTTTGAGGCGCCATCGGCCTCCCCCCCGGTTTTTAATTTCACTCTGGACGGCCCAGTTGGGAGCTCTTCTTCACCCTCAGGTGTTCGTTCCTCCCTCGGCCGATCCTGTCCTCTCCCCCCCTCAGTGGGTTGAGGTTACACGTTCTTCTCGACGGCAGCCCCGGACTCTTTCTCTTGAGTCCCTGGTGGCGCCTCCTTCCTCCCTCACAGGGCCGGCTTATTTCCCGCAGGCTTTCGCCTCGGACCCCAGCCCTGACTCGACCTGGTGCCCTCCTTCGACCCAGCCCTCCGGCTCATCTGGCCGTCGAGGTTCCAGGCGTGACCGGCGGTCCCAGCACCGCCGCCGCCGACTTCAAATGCCGGGCCTTTTCACCCAGCTCCAGGTCGAGATGTGTGACCAGGCCCTGCGCCCTGCCTCGCCAGTTGAGCGTGACCTCGTTGAGTTTGCTTCTAAGGTGGAGGATGCTATCTCGCCGGGTTCCTCGGAGGAGTGGTTTTTAGAGCATGCCCTGGATGCCATCCACGATGACACACCCTCCCCCGCGAAGTGGCACCTCCTCAAGCAGATGGCTCAGGTTCTCTCCTTGCAGCACAACACCCCTCACAACCCTGCCTCCCTCAGACTCCTCACCGCCAACGTCACTCACTGGAGGCCTGAGGTTCGTGATTGGGCCTTTTCCCTTGACGCCCAGGGGGTTTTGCTCCAGGAGCTCCACCTCACTGCTGACGCTGCGCATGAGGCCACAATCGCCGCCTCCAAAAGTGGGCTTCGCCTCTTCACTTCGCCACCTTTTCTTAGCGAGAAGAAGCGGCCCCTGGGAGGTTTTGGCGTTCTAGTCCGCTCTTTCCTCAACCCTCGTCACGTCCTCACCCACACCGTTGAGGGCTGTGGTTTTCTCGCAGTTTCGCTTCGGTGTTCGGGGTTCGAGCTCACCCTGATCTCAGTTTACCTTCAGTCCGGGACGGGTTTCAACTCCCCTGTCAACGCCGATGTCCTAGCCCGCCTTCTAGCCTTTCTTCCCTCCCTTCGGGGAGTGTGGCTTGTTGCCGGCGACTGGAACAACCCCATCCAAGACCTCCTCGCCACTAGGCTCGAGGAAGTTACCCATGGGAAGTTCCTGGGCACCGGGGCCCCCACCGCTGCAACGGACCGGGAAATCGACTACCTGCTTGTCTCGTCTCCGGCTGTTGCTTCCCTGACCTTGGCTCAGGACTGGGTCGTCCCCTTCAAGCCTCACTGTGCCCTACGGGTTACTCTTCAGCTCAGCTCCTTGCAGCTTCCCTACCCGCAGCTCGCTACCTTCTGTGAGGTCTTCCCCGACCCTTTGCCTTTTCAGCCGTCGGTCCCGCGTCCCACGCCAGTCGCTGAAGTTAATCTTCTTGGCCTCACTTCTGCTGACCAGCTCACCCTTGACTTCGCTGAGCTGAGCTCCTTCCTTGAAGCTTCTCACGGTTTCCCCGACCGCGGGCGCGGGGCCTTTGTCCCCATTCTTCACAAGCCCCTCGTTCAAGGCCACTCGGTTGCTTTTGCTTGGAAGGGCCAGCTCCCTTCCTTGGTGTCTGCCGTGCTCCACTTGCTTGATCGGCCTGAGGTTTTGAAGCCCTTTTTGTGGTCCTCCTTAGACACTTCCCTCCCCTCTGAGGTTCGGGCCTTTTGTGACCGGGCGCGGGACGACTCGGCCACTCCTGCCAACCTCCGTGTGGAGGGCACTGCTCTCCTCGGCCAGCTTCGGCGGGAGCAAATCGCCCGGCAGGCTGACCAGTACGGTGAGTGGCTGGAGGAAGCTTCCGGCTCACACCTTGGGCCGCTTTTTTGCGCCATCAAGTCTCATGAGCAGGTGCTTGACCGGCCCTACCAGGACTGTGATGGGCTCCGTCGCGCCTTTGAGAGGCATGAACACTGGGCCCGCGTATGGCACGCTTCGGTCTTTCCTCAGCCCTTTTCGCACCCTCTCCTCGCGGAGCTCCGCTCGAGGGCCGTCTCTCACGCCGGCACTCTTGCTCCACTGACCGTCCCCAACCTTCAAAAGCTTTTCAAAAAAGCGGGGAAGAAGAAAGGTGGCCCAGACGGATGGAGCTACCCAGCCCTCCGTGCACTGGACCCGGCGGCTCTTCAGCTCGTCGCCGACTTCCTCGCCCGTGCGGAGGCTGAGGTGCTTCTGCCTTTCCAGCTCACCTGCGTCCAGGTCGCTCTTCTCCCGAAGTCGGCCGACAAGGAGCGCCCCATAAGTCTTCTACCCTGTCTGTGGAGATTGTGGGCACGAGCCAGGTGGCAGGACGTCTCGGCTTGGACGTCGGCTTACGCCCCCGCCCACCCGTGGGACCGGGCGGTTCCAGGCCAGGCAAGCCTGGACACGGCGCTGGCCCGCCTTGTCAGATCAGAGCATTCAAAGCTCGAGAAGACTCACATTGTGTCGCTCTTCCTCGACTTGCGAGGTTTCTTCGACTCTGTGAGCTACGAGCGCCTTCTCCTCCAAGGGCTCGCTCACAGTTTCCCTCCTCTTCACCTCTGGTTCGCCCTCCAGGTCTACCAGGGTCCTCGCTGTCTCGTTGCCGACTCGATCGCTGCCACGCCGCTCTTTCCCGGCCGGGGCGTACCCCAGGGCTGCCCTCTCGCACCCTCGCTTTCCAAACTTACCATGTCTGAGCCACTCCAGAAGGTTTCTTCCCTTCCCTTCGTCACCAACACAGACTTATGGTTGGACGACGTGAGTTTAGACGTGGTGGGTTCCGACCCTGTCGAGGTCGCTTCCTCTGCGCTTCAGGCCTACCGGGTCCTTCATGCCTCCCTCGGCCTTGAGGGCCTTGAGGTTGAGACCACAAAGACCAAGTTCGTTGCTGGTACGGTCCGCGCCCGCGCCGCGCTTCAGCAGTTGCGGCGCCCCGGCGAGCCCGATACCGCCGACCTGGTCAAGGACCTCGGGCTCGACTGTGCTGCAGGCCGGCGACGGCGCATCACCACAGCCCAAAAACGCTTCCGCACCGGCCTTGGGCGTGTCCGTCACATGCGCCGTCTTCGCATCCGCCGCAGGTGGGTTCGGGGCCGGCTGCTCCAAGCCTCCGCCCTCAAGGCGGGCCTTTATGGCCACCAGGCTGTTGGGGTTGCCCCTAAGCGCCTCAAGGTTTTGCGCTCGGCTGTTGCGCGTGAAGCTGGCCGTTTTGAGCATGGCTCTGCTGATGTCATCCTAGACCTCATGTCCCACAAGGCCGTGTTGACCCACACCAGCTTGTGGTAGTGGAACAGCTTCAGGCTCTTGGGCGTCTTGCCTCCAGCGCCTCTCCCGAAGGCGTGCGGTTACTCACACGCACCTGGGCCTCCTCATGGTCCAGACAGGCCTCTGCCAAGCATGGGTGGAAAATCGTGAACGGCCCAGTGTCCGCGCTCATCCAGTACTTGCTTGATTTGCGAGTGTCCGCTCCCACCCCTGAAGTCTGGACACACCGCGAGGCTACCTTTCACTTCCGCTTCCGTGAGCCAGGAGCGGTTTTTGAGGCCTCCGCCTTCCTCAAGCAGGTTATCCAGCTTGAGCGCTGGACTCGTATCGGCGCGATCTCCACCGCCGCCGGCGCCGCCACAGGCATTGATTGGACCGTGCCGCGCCGCCTTTTGGCCAGTCCTCGGACGAAGTCCTGGCGGCACGGCCTTAGGGCCGTCTTTCAAGGCGCCCTCCTTCACTCGGGCAATGGAGGGAAGGATCAATGCAAATTCTGTGGTGCGCCCAACACCCTGCACCACCTCCTTTACGAGTGTGAGAAGGTCCCCGGCGCCCTCATGCCCGCGGGCTGGCTGCTGTCTTATAAGCGGCGCCACCCCGCCGAGTGCCTCTGGCTGCGGGGGATGCGGCCCCTAAACACCCGCGAGCCCCTCGCCCATGAGGCTGAGGTCCGCCGCACTGGCCTCTTCCTTGACGGCTCCCCAGACTTGACGGGGCTTTTCGTCGCTACTGACGCTTCGGGAGGCCCTGCCACCAAAGACAGTCGCCTCCGCTCTGTCGGCTGGGCTGTTATAGTCGCTAGCAGACACAATGGCGACTTCACTGTCCTAGGTACCATGTCGGGGCTTTTGCCGGCCCCTGCCTCCGTTCCGGAAGGCGAAAGCGAGGCCATCGCGCAGGCCCTCCTCTCCTCGCGGGGCACTTTTGACCTCACTTGCGACTGCCAGCCCGCTCTTCGGAGCCTTCAGGGGCCCTTTACCAAGCGCACCTCGCTTGTGTGGTCTAAGGCGTGGGACTACAGACACAGAGCCGAACCTCACTGGGTCCGCTCCCACCTCAGTCCCTCGGACTTCTGTCTTGAGTTTGGGGCTGACGCCTTGTGGCGTCGTGAGCTCAACTCCCTTGCAGATAAGCTCGCCAAGGATCGTGCTGAAGAGGTTCAGACTTCTCACCGCCTCGCTGCCCAAAAGGAGGTTGATCGTGTCACCTCCCTCGTCTGCGAGTATTTGGGCCGCCGAGCTGCTGCCATACTGGCCAAGGCCGAAAAAGAGGACTTCGTCCCGCGGAAGAACCGCCTCCACTCCGCACTTGAGCCTTCCGCTTCTCCCTCGCCCAACAAGAGGCAGAGGTTGCAGACCTTGCTCGACGTACCCCCTCTTCCGGGTGGGCACGTCTGGTCCCGCACCTCTAAGGAGAAGAGTTTCAACATGTGTGTCAAGTGCTCTGAGTGCTCCTTGTGCATCTACCAAGTTGACACACCGGAAACCTTTGAACGCCTCATCACCTTTCCGTGCCGAACGGCTGCGGTTCCGTGCCCCTTCGCTGCTCACCCTTCGCACACTCTTGTGCGCCAGGGGCCGTCCTGGAAGTGCAGCCAGTGCCACGGCCACGTGACCCTTCGGATGGGCGCCGCGCCGAAAAAGCTCGTAGCGCCCTGTGCGCTTCCTTCGGTGCGGGGGTTTTTCTCTAAAGTTTCTCCTTCCCCAGGGCCTCAGGCTTCCCCTCCTGCCTCTGCTGCTGCCCCTGTGGTTCCCCCTGTGCCTTGCTCTTGGGGTTCCCTTCAGGGTTCTGCGCCTGCTACTGCCCTCACTTCGGTTGAGGTCCTAGCACCCAAGGCTCCCTCTCCCCTCGAAGGTTCTTGGCCCCCTTCGGAGGTTCCTCAGGCCCAGGCTCCAGCAAGCCTTGGTTCGTCACTAGAGGCCCCGGCTCCAAAGGCTCCAGGCCCTGCTCTCAGAAGCGCCCCTGCCCCCAAGCCCAAAGCAAAGCCCCGGCCCAAGCCGAAGCCCAAGCCTCCGCCTTCCTGCCCCTCGGTCACCAAGTTTTTCCGCTAGCTCCGGCTCAAGTGGGCACCATGGGGCCCAAGGGCAAGGGTCGCCATGCTCGTGAGCAGCAGGAGCGCTTTGACCAGACAGGTATCTGGCATAGCACTAGCTCCCTGTCCAGACGCAAGCAGCGGCCGGATAAGGCAGCGCGCGCTAAGGCCAAAGCGCGCCAGGTGCAGGACCGCGAGAGAGTCTGGGAGCACCCACCTCCCGCTCCCTCACCTGCTCCTCGCCGAAGGGCTGAAGCTGACGATGATGACCAGCTTTTTACCTGGTCACGCCGCGTGACGAACCGGACGACGGCCAAGTCGTCCAGCTCTGCCGGCCCCTCGCCCCCTGTGGCTGAGGTTGCGATGGAGGAAGAGCCTGGTCACCCTTCCTCGACCTCCTCCTCCCAGGCTGCTTCAGCGGCAGCGGCGACTAGGCCGGCCGACAACCTTACTTCCCTTGCCCTGTGCCCGCACTAACAGGTCCGCCGGTGAGCTCTCACCCCCGCAGCCGCGGCCCTCCTGCTCCGGCGGAGGCCCCAACCAACGCAGGAGTTGCTTCCTCAGCACAGGCTGCTGCTTGGCCCACCCAGCTCGCCGAAGCACCTCCAGTCGGTCCTAAAGGCCTTCCCTCGCCTTCGGCTGAGGTCGTCACCTCGGCCCTGGGCTTTTCTCAGCAGCGGGCTGCGGGCCCGCCGCCACAACGCCGGGAGCTTCGGCTTGCTTTTAACTTCCACTGCTTCCTGTGTGGGTACAGCAACGAGAACCCCTTGGAGATGGGCTCTCACCTGGGAAGCTGGAGCCACCCTGAAGCCTTCAGGTCTCTAGCCAGAGCTCCCACTCCTCCCGAGCCTTAGGCTCCAGTGCCTCCCCTGGCACCTCTCCCAAGGCACACCTCTGGCTCCTTCCTCGCCTTGGCTGAGGTTCGACCCTGCAGCGGTGCCTGGGAGTGCCCAGAGCAACCCTCGGCTTCCTTCCTCACCAGTCCGGCTGAGGTTCGATCCTGAGGCAGTTTGCCTGGGCCCCGGTAGAACCCGCCTGTACAGTCTTTGGTAGGGCCTACCCCTCGTCTGAAAACGACTGAGGTGGCGGGTGTAACTAGCCACCTGTAGTCTAGGACGTAGGGCCGCCCTTGCCCAAAGAGGCTGAGGTTCTCCTAGTTTTTTCACTTGCATGTGAATTCGCTTTCGGACTCGTCTCTGACGGCTCGCAGCCCGGCGAAGAAAATCCCATTTGACCTTGGATGTCCTGATGTTTTCGGCATGCCTGAAGCTGTGAGGAGTGCTTTTGAGTTAGGAAGTGACTGCACGTTCGTTTCGTCTCGTTTCGTTAGTGCTTGAAGTGTTTTGCTTGGAGACAGACAGCTGCAAGGTGTTTCACTGTCAGTCAGAGCCCGACGCGACTCCGCTTTGGCTCAAGAAAAAGACCGAGTGCTGCGCGCTCTGTTTTTCACATCTTTCGGAGCTCGATCGTTTTCGTTCCTGCAGCGGGTCTTGTAGTCCTAGCTGGAGCTGCTGCACTGAGTGTGTCGTGTTCGAGGTTCCGCGCCTGCGAGTATCTGCTGCAGCCATGCCGGGCGAATCTTCAGCGCATACGTGGTCTTCCCGAAGGCCAAGTCAATTAGCTTTTCACTGTCCGGAGTACCTGACGTGCGTTCCACTCTGTCACTTCGCGGTCATGTGATCAGCGTACATGTGGAGGCCGAGCCTGGCTGGATCCCCGTCGAAATTCCCGTACTGCTGGGTCCGTGATTGTCCGGCATGCCGTGTGCTTGCACGGTAACTGGTGCCGACACTTTGGATCTCGATGATTCCGTGGCTGCGGTCAATGGCATGAAGTGACACTGCTCTAGAAACAGGATGCAGCGTCCTGGTGTTGTAGGCGTCAACGTGCAATTCTTTTACCCACAGTTTCCGGCGCTCACGGTTTCAAGAAAGGTGTTGTGTAGACACTGAGTAATGCACACAGTTGGAGCCGCTGCGGGCCGTGCACATCGTCCGTTTCTCCTCATACGGATGTTGTGTGATGCGCTGGAGGCTTCTGTGGCCAGGTAGCCGCGCGTTGTCGGCAGCAGGTCCTCTTTATACCCACACCCCTATCGCGGCTGGCATGGTCTGTCTTGCTGTGAAACACTTCGTCCGTGGGTGCTCTACTCGGTGATAGGGTGCTCAATGCGACAGCCCGGACACTTCCAGTGGGCCGGCACTGGTATGTATCGGCCGTTGACTGGCTCAGTGGAGTACCGGCAGGTACCGGCCGTGTACTGGTTTCTGCCACACCCTCACTGTTGCCGGCGCCTGCAAGCCAAGTCAATACGCACGCACGATGTGGATACGCGCCGCTTACGCCTCGCCTCAGCTGTGTTTGAGTCCTTGATCAAAGTGCATATGCGTCGTGCCTCGGTGGATGGAACATCCATGGTCGAAACTCGCCGGAGCAGAAGAATAACTGGGGCAGCGCGCCTTCTGTGATGGCCGAGGTCTAGATTTGGCTTTGGCCGCTCTAAGGGCACATAGTGCGAAAGCCTGGCAGTAGGCAGGCTTGTGTATTCCTGCACATGTTCGCTATGCTGGATACAACAAACACATGCTCGCCTTCGGTGACATGGTCGGCTTTGGCACGGAAGCCTTTGACGTTCTCCATGTCGTGTTACCGCGCTATCCTCTATGCAGTCTAGCCTTGTCCAGGTGAATGGAGTCGGTGCTGTCCTTGCATCCCACTGCTCCTGGTGGGATATCCATCCGACCGACTGTCTCGGTTGTTTTCATATGCATCCCTCCCGCGTGGCAGCGATTCCGTTGGCCTGCTACCGAACGGATAGTAGCCCGGGCTGGCGGGACCATGCCCTTGGAGCGTTTGCCATGACGAGGCCTACTGTTCATGGTTCTGGGCTGAGCCTGGCGCGCGGGCGGAATGCGACTAACAGCCTGTAACACTGCGTTATGTCAACTTCGCTGATTGAGCCTAAATTAGCCTTCTCTTGTCATCCCTTATCTGTTTGGCGGAATTTCAGTTCCGACAACGTCGGTACCGGGCAGAACTACTGCAGGTGATAGTGACGACTCTTTCTTTGCAACGGGCTATCAGCTTTGTCCGACGCGTTTGGCTACGGCATTGCTCCATATTCGAGGCCCGAGGTCACGGGAATGTCGTACCAGTCGACGGACACGCTCGTTGCTCGCACGTAGTCCCATCCGTTCTGATGCGCACCGAAGAAGATGCCGTCCGGTCCTGAAGGTCGGGGCATGCGTTTTGTATGTCGTGCTTCCGATGCGACACTGGTAGATCCGGCCTGCCACCAGTGCCAGCCAGATGTTGCGGCCGCGAGAGCCCCGACAGTTGAAGCCCACTTCGAGTACTCCGAAGCCAGCCACTTGCTTTAGCGCCCAGCCTCCGTGTACATCGGACGTCTGCTGTGCTGGCGTCGTGAAGACAACACGCCTGCGCGTATTCGGCTGCTTGTCACTCCTTCCGGCATCTGAATCGAGCCTGCAGGAGGTCAAAGGCCCGATGATCGCGTACAAATGTAAGACGTTCTCCGCGGGCGGACAGAGTTGTCTTTGATTTATAGTCGCCCATAGAGGCGACGCGAAACGTAGGAATTTCAAATTTTTACAACTTATTTAAAACCTGTGCGCTCTTGATTTCATGTCACACTTTTACTTTGGCGTGGAATCAGTTGTTCGAGTGCAAAAGCCTTTGGCCTAAGTTCAGTGTGTCCGTAGGTCACGTGTCAGCACATGCACATAGCTGGGAAACACATTGCAGTGACCGTTGACTGAACAATTTTTCTCCCCCGTCCCATGGACTTCGGCGACGCCCTCGTCGCTGGTTCTTCAGGCCGTTCCGAGGACTCTACCAGCACTCGCGAGCTTCACAGTCAGCACATTTACGAGCTCCAATTGGAGGTTAACGCTCTCCGTGCTGAAATCCAAACTCTCAGGTCCGCATTGCAGGCTTTGGAAGAGTCCCTTGCTCGTGCCTGGGTGAATCAGACCGGCCATCACCAACGTCTCTCGTGGCTGGAGGGGATTATTCAGAGCTTGAGGTCTGCCTGTCGGGTGTTTCTTGAGCCTGGCGTACAGTCTGCCGCAGATCTGCCATAATTTGACCTTTGCTGACTTTTCAATTGGGATATGGCGGGTCAGCCTAACTCAGACGCTTTGCTTGGGCCATCCGAATTTCATGCGGCCTTGGTCGCTGCCGAGAGGCCGCTTGTTCTGGATGCTCAGTCTCTTCTCATCAAGGACTTCTCTTGGCACATAAAGGTGGGCGAGGCGTCTCGAAAGACTCCTCTTCTCCCTTGGGAGACGGGTCCCCTTTCTTGGATCTTTGGCAGGCCACTCAAGAGGCCGCGTCTGGAGCTACCTCGGGACCTGTCTCCCGATTCAGGATCTGCTGTTGATGCGGGGGTGCCTCTGGTTCATCCACAGCCGGTGCCCAACTTTGCAAGGGAGCGTCTTAGGATTGCAGCTCTCCTGGCTACAGACGACAGTTCTCGCTGGGAGGCTCTGAGGAAGTTCAGGACGCTGGTTTTGCTTGACCCGGCGCTGTCTCAGGTGGGGCAGTCACTTGCGGCTGAGGCTTTGATTCTGCGAGACGGCGATCAGATGAGGCGAACCTTCTTGGATGTCTTTCATGGCAAAAGTACAGCTACTTTAGTGAAGAGAGCCTCGTCGCTTTGGAGGTTTGCCAACTTTTGTTTTGACAATGGTCTGGGAAATCCGCTCGGGGCTGGCGAGAAGGTTTTGTACCGATACATGTCGCACCTCGAGGAACATGGCAAGCCGACATCCGCCTCGGCTTTCCTTCAGGCCTGGAACTTCGCTGTCCACACTTTGAAGCTCTGTAGCCCGGACGCTCTGGGGGCCTTGTCCGCTAGAGTGAAGGGTGCTGCGCAGCGCATGTACTCCTTGAAGAGGAAGCTTGTTCAGGCAGTACCTTTGACAGTGAAGCAGGTGAAAGGCCTGGAGTACGTGGTCCTGAAGTCCCCGTACCCCCATTGGCGAATCATTGCGGGTCACCTCTTGATGTGCATAGGGTCTAGCTGCCGATTCGCCGATTCCTTGCAGCTGACCAGCCTCAAGGTCAGCACTGCTCAGGGTGTTACCCTGGTTGAGGCAGAGAGCTCGAAGTGGAAGACGGCTTCGAGGAAGGACCAGCTCCTTCCTTTGGCCTCCTTGGGAAAGTTCTTCGCTGAGGAGTCGTGGGGAGAAGTTTGGGCTAAGGAGCGCGAGGCTGCTGGTCTTGGCCTCAACCCGGCGCTCCCGGCTTTCTCCGAGGTGACTGGTGAGTGGCTTAACCGTCCTATGTCTACGGGGGAGGCCACTTGTTACCTTAGGGAGTTCATGACCGCGGCTTCCCAGATGACTGCTGGGTTAGGGTGTCATTCCCTGAAGTGCACGGTCTTGTCTTGGGCTGCAAAATCCACGGATGTCCCTCTCGCTGATCGACGTTTGCTGGGGCATCACATAGATCCGGGAGTGGTGTCGCCGCTTACTTATGCGAGAGACGAGCAGACCCGACTCATGAAGGTAGTTCATCTTATCGTGGAAAAGATCAGGAAAGGATCCTTCAAGCCGGATGCCTCGAAGGTCTGGCGCCTCGCGAAGCTGATTGAGTCTGGTGGCACGGAGCTGCTTACTGAACAGGTTGTGCAAGGCGATCCCTCTATGGAGGAGTCCGATGACGAGGAAGGCGACTTCGGCGACGGGGACATGGCCGCTGGAGGAGCTTGCGCCTCGATGGAGCGATTGAGTGCAGCTGAGCTGGACGTTGCTAAAGATAGTCGGATGCATGTCTACTCGAGGGTGGTGCACATCCTGAAAGGATCCAAGTTCCTATGTGGGAGGAACCTTTCTCCAAACTATGAGGCCATCGATCCGGATGTTCCCCTCCGAGACTTGCCGGTATGCGCTCAGTGCTCGCAGAAGTACCAGCAGTGATTTTGGGATCGAGGGGTGAGTTCTGTGTCAGAGTACGAAATTTTGTCGGGTGTTCCTGGGCCTGACCTGGCGGAGCCCCAATTGGGCGTTGACCGCTGGGCGTTGAGGGCGCAAGAGCAGGAGCAAACTCGCCAGACAATTTGAGCCTCACCTGTGCCAGACCTGGCGGAGTCCCCCTACTGGGGGCGTTGGCCGTTGGGCGTCGAGGGCGTAAAGGGTGGAGGCGAGTCGCTACGACTCCTCGGATGATTTGAGCCTCACCTTATCCTGACCTAACGGAGACCCCACGTCGGGGCGTTGTCCGTTGGGCGTCGAGGGCGTAAGGTCGTGGGGCGCTCCTCACTTTGGGCATCCGTGCCTCACCACAGTAACAGTGTGACCTGTTTCGCGCGAAAGGAATTTTGACAAGGCGCGAGTAGGGGCAGGCTGTCCTACGGGCGTTGTGCCGAGCTCTTGGTGGTTCTGATTCTCTGAGCTGCATCCAAAGTTGCCTTGCTGACGACAGTCCTGACTTGTTGGCTAGAGCGAGGAAGAGAGCAGTTCAGGCCGTCCTTGAGGGACGGGACAGTAGCAGCCATGAATTCGACAATTGACAGCGAAGCCACGTTCGCTGCCCGGGCCACCGAGCTCGGCATGGAGCGCGATCTCTTGGACTTGTTTGTAAAGAACAACGTGAAGACGATGGGCGCGCTAGCCTTTGTGAGTCCCTATCAAATCGGTCAAGCAGATGAGAAACCGCTTCTTGAAGCCCTCAAAGCCTTGATAGGGCGCGACTTGACCGCGAAGGAGCTGATCCCAGTCAGGCGATTGTGGTTCGAAGCCTCGACCACAGTGATGGGAGAGCTGAAGCAGAAAGTAGAGAGAAATGACTCTGCGGAACCAGTTCGTTTAGCCATCGCTGAAAGAACAACACGTCTGGATGAGCAGAAAAAGCGCCTTGTGGGCGTGTGCATCAACAGTGAGTCTGAGCCTTCTCACCGCCTTGTGGATGTTGTCTTCCAGCAGGGCGCGGATCAGCAGCTGACGTGGTTGCCTTGGGAGAAATTGACAAGTCGGGCTCATGAGTTGACGCATTCTCGCTCCGACAACGCCATCCTGTTTGACGCTCAGGGCAACATGAGGCTGACTAAGAAGATGCAGGAGAGCCAGTGTACTCTGACAGGTGAGCTCCAAGCTCGACAAGCGCTTCAGAGGCGCGCGTTGGCGTATGACCTCGCCCGCTTGTGTGACTATGCTGTCATGGAAACCTACCATGAGGAGTTGTTCCAGCTCCTCACTCGGCCTCCACCTCCCAATGCCCTCTACGTCTCAATGGGCCAAATCCGAGAAGCTGATAAGCACTTATTCATCAGGATCGCAGAGCAAACCCGGGGCTCTCTCACTGCTCGCCCGGATGGTGCTAAGCCTATGCAACAGCAGCTCGAGCTTCTCAAGAACCATCCTCAGGTGCAGTTCTTCTTGATGCCACCGCAGAAGCCTCTCCGCTACTCTCCTTATGATGGCAAAGGGGAGGGCAAGAAGGGAGCTGGAGGCAAGGGAAAAGGGAAAGCATCGACCGGTGCTCCCGCAGGAGGGGCTGCGCAAGTGGACCTCCCATCTGGATGCAGTGCCAAACACAACGGCAAGCCAATATGCTTTGCGTACAACAGGGCGGGCTGTAAGTTTGCCAAGGATGGCAAGCGGTGCAGACGAGGCTTCCATATATGTTGGAAGTGTTTCAAGGAGCACAGCTATAGCGCTTGCCCGCTCGGCGGGGCCTGACTCGGTGGTGACACTTCTGAGGCTGCGGTGCATGACGCTGCTCCCCGGCTTCAGGCGACGGCCCTTCTCGACCTTTTCGAGTCGCTGCCTAATGAGGTTGCGCCTCGCCCTGGATCGACGTCTTCAACGAAAGTGTTTCAAGCTGGGGCCTACATTTTCGGTGTGCTGGCCGGTCTACGCCGGTCTTGCGCCTTGCATGCTGAGAGTATCAAACCCTTTTGCCGTTTTGTAGTGGAAAACACTCCTGAGGAGTTTGTTTTCAGTAACATTGCTGTCTTTGCGAACTTACGGACTGAGATGCACCTAGATCCTAATAATCTGGAGGGGACTTTGAACTTTGCCATTGCCCTGTCTTCCTTCGAAAGCGGACAGATTCGACTTGAAGGCGGGCCGCAGGGTTCTGAGGCCCTCTTGGATGTCAAGACAGGCGTCTTCTTTGATGCCCGAACTCGACGCCACGGGACATGTGACTGGACAGGTCAGCGAGTTGTTCTTGTGGCATTCAGCCTCAGGGGCTCCGATCGCCTTTCTGCAAAGGACACCCAGACCCTAGCCTCCCTAGGGTTTAGGCCCCCTTACCCGGGTGTAAATAATCTGCATTTGGCAAGCCAGCTTTCAACGTCAGATGCGCCGGCGCATGTCGCTGCAGCTTCGCCCGACTTTCCTCCTGTGCCTCCGAATGCTCCTGCCTTTGTTGAGGTGTTCGCTGGCTGTGCTCGCTTGTCAGCTACGTTCGCCCGGGTCGGGTTCAAGGTCATGCCCTTTGATGGCCCTCGGAACCCGCATCAACCTGAGCATCCTGTGTGCACGCTTGACCTGACATTGCCGATCTGCCAACAGATCTTCTTGAGCCGCCTCGAGAATTCCAGTGTCTTCTTGATTCACTTTGGGTTGCCTTGTGGCACAGGATCGCGTGCCCGTGAGGCGCCACTTCCCCAACATCTGCGAGCCCGTGGTGCTCCTCAGCCTCGCCCGCTACGAGACCATGTGCACGTCTTGGGCCTCCCTTCCTTGAGTCCTCAGGAGTCTGCTAGAGTGGAGGCCGCCAACCGACTGGCCGAGTTCGTGGTGCAAGTGCTTGTGCGAGCACATGATCGAGGCTGGCGCATTGTCATTGAGAACCCCATTCGTTCTTGGATGTGGAGTGTTCTAGCCCACTTTGTGCGCGCGCTTGACAAGCCTCGTTTTCGGTCATGGTACTCCGAGCTGTTCACTTTTGATTTTGATCAATGCTGCTGGGGCGGTCGCCGTCGCAAAACTTCCAGGTTCTTGACCAATGTGCCCGAGCTTCGCTCCTTGGTGGCTTCTTGTCAAAATGATCACCCTCACGAGCCGTACCGCATCTTCAGAGGTGCGGCCTCTTCTTGGAAATTCGACACGGCTTCCGAGGCCGAGTATCCTTTGCCTTTGTGCGAACAGTACGTTCGCCTCCTGTGCCCGCTGGTCAATGCCCAGCCGCCAACCCTGCCTAGGCCTTTGGTTCGTCAGGTTCATCGGAAGCCTCCTCTCGTGCCTGAGTACAAATCCTTCACAAATGTCCGCCCTGAAAGTGGTGAGTTTCGCGAGCTCGCTTCAGATCGGGGTGTTGGCGGGAGCGGCTCAACTCAGGGCCCCACGTTTGGAGTTTTTCACTCTAAGGGTGAGTTCCTTGAGAAGGCGCTGGAAGTTGAGCACCCCTTTGATTCCGCCTTTGCCATTGACGATCAGACCAAAAGGAACGTCTTCGAGTTGCTCACCATGGGTCTCCTGGGCCCTGCTCGCAGGCGGATGGACACTCAGAAAAAGCTTTCAGCGCTGAAGCGTGAGCTTGCCGTCGAGGAGAAGCGTTATCACGCCTCCCTTCCGGAGCACGCCCAAAAGGTGCTCAAGGGGAAGAACATCTTGTTGTGGAAGAGGCTCCTTGAGGAGACCGGTTTCCCAGACATCACGGTCGCTGAGCTCATGGAGGGCGTCCCATTGGTCGGTAGGCCTAGTAAGTCTTCCTTGTATGGGTGGAAGGAGCAGCCGGCGACCACAACGTTGGATGATCTTCTTGTTTCCTCCGTGTGGAGGAACCCTGCGCTGGCGGCGAAGGGCAGAGTTGGGGACGACCCCGTCCTAGCCGAGAAAATCTGGCAGGCTACACTTTCGGAGGTGGAGAGGGGCTTCATCTCGGGGCCCTACGATTCGGAAGAGGACGTTAAGAAGGCCCTTGGAGTTTCTCACATCTGCTGCAGCCGGCGCTTTGGGGTGAAGCAAGGTGCAGGCGATGCTTTGAAGTATCGCCCCATCGACGATTTCAAGGAGAGTGCCATAAATTCTGCCTACCACGCGGTGGATCGCTTGCAGCTGCATGACGTCGACTACTTTGTTTCCTTGATAAGGTTTCTGGCGAACTCCGTGGACGACTCGGGTGCAGTCAATGTCGAGCTGTCCGACGGGACAGTGCTGAGTGGGGCTGTGCACAGTGACTTTCGATCGGGGCGGCGCTGGCTTGGAAGGTGTCTCGATCTGGAAAAAGCGTATAAGCAGGTTCCCATACTGGCCGCCCACTTGCCCCTAGCCGTCATAATGGTATGGGACCCGAACACCAGCCGCAACAGATATTTTACCACTTGGAGCATGCCGTTCGGCGCATGCGCGGCCGTGTTTGGATTCAATCGCATATCCAGGTCGCTCTTACATCTGGCATCTCACCTTTGTGCTGTCATAGGAGGCGTGTATTTTGATGATTATCCTATGATTGAGCCTGCTGAGTCTTCTAGGATGTGCAGCCTCTCGGTGGAAACCCTGCTTGACTCCTTGGGATGGTCTTATGCCGTCGGTGACGACAAGGGTCAGCCTTTTGAGGAAACCTTCAACCTCCTTGGCATGCGGCTGGGCGTTTCTAGAATCATGGATGACATCCTCGAGCTCGAGAACAAGCCCAGCCGGGTCCAGAAGCTCGTTGAGGCAGCCAGGAGAATGGCTGCGAGTGGGGTTGTGAGCAAGAGTGACTCTGCATCTCTTCATGGCCAACTGAACTTCATGGTGGGCTTCGCTTCCGGCCGTTCCTTGAAATTTGCTGCGCGAGCCTTGTCAAACCTTTATCACTTTCCACGGGATCAGCCTGACGAGGAGGTGAAGTCCTTGGGCCGCTACCTTGAGTCTGCGCTTTTGAGCTTGGAGCCCAAGGTCATCAGACTGAGGTCAGGCGGGAGGCCGGTGTCTGTCTTCAGCGACGCCTCTTACGAAGATGGTGTGGCGGCATGGGGCATTGTCCTGGCAGACCCTGTCTCTGGTGAGAGGCTGGTAGCTGGCGGGATTGTAGATGATCGCCTTGTGCAGTTTTGGCTTGATGAAGGAGTTGAACAGGTCATTTCACAGGCCGAGGCCTTTGCTTTGGTTCTGGCAAGGAGAGCTTTCAAGGACCACTTGCAGTGCCGCAGATGCGTGTTTTATGTCGACAATGATGCGGCGCGCTATGTATGCATTAAGGCAAGCAGTCCGAGCCGTACCCTCCTCTCCTTGGCATGCTCCTTTTACGCCAGTGAGTCTCATGACGGAGTCATTTCATGGCTGGAGCGTGTTCCTTCTGCGAGCAATATCGCTGATCTCCCTAGCAGGGGAGAATGCGCTGAGGCGGCAAAGCTGATAGGAGGCAAGATTGTCGACTGCAGTCAGATTGCATCGGACCTGACTTCGGAAATTTTGTCCGTGGACGATCTTCCGTGGAGCCTTCTTGCTACGTCCTACAAGGACAAAGCACCTCCGATCTTCTTGTGACTGCATTCGGACGTCTGCTGGGGAATGACGGGTCCGTTGAAGGAAACAGGTTCGCCTGTGTTATCCTTGGATCGTCGGTGGTGCACATGTTTCTCCCCTTGATCTGATCGCAGTCCGAAGGTGCCAAAATAGCGAAGGTGTCCGAGTGATTGCAAGTGAAGCTCAATATTTGAAGATTGCTTTTTTTTTTATAACATATTGATTGATTGGGCTATGCCCGAATATATGATTGTTTTAACCACGTTTCGTAAATCACTAAGACGACGTTCTCCGCGGGCGGACAGAGTTGTCTTTGATTTATAGTCGCCCATAGAGGCGACGCGAAACGTAGGAATTTCAAGTTTTTACAACTTATTTAAAACCTGTGCGCTCTTGATTTCATGTCACACTTTTACTTTGGCGTGGAATCAGTTGTTCGAGTGCAAAAGCCTTTGGCCTAAGTTCAGTGTGTCCGTAGGTCACGTGTCAGCACATGCACATAGCTGGGAAACACATTGCAGTGACCGTTGACTGAACAATTTTTCTCCCGCCCACCCGCCCGGGAATGACGGGTCCGTTGAAGGAAACAGGTTCGCCTGTGTTATCCTTGGATCGTCGGTGGTGCACATGTTTCTCCCCTTGATCTGATCGCAGTCCGAAGGTGCCAAAATAGCGAAGGTGTCCGAGTGATTGCAAGTGAAGCTCCAATATTTGAAGATTGCTTTTTTATAACATATTGATTGATTGGGCTACGCCCGAATATATGATTGTTTTAACCACGTTTCGTAAATCACTAAGACGACTTCCTTCTTCCGGCATACACCTCGGTCTCAGGTTGACTGGCAGGCAGGCTACTGTTTCTAGTGCGTGCATTAGTGCGCAGGTTGTCCCGAGGCCGCGGCGTCCTTCGGTGCCTGCCCGGAACAGAAGTGGGGAGGGGTTGCGTGCACTTGGCTTCCATACTAAAATCTCGCCTGATATATGCTCGTAGGTGAGCGTCCATTTCAAAAAGCGGACGGCGACCATCGCAGAAAGGCGGCAAGGGGAGTCGGAACTTTGCAGGGGTGCTTGAGTTTGGAGACCTGTAAGCGCTGCGGACACAGGAGATCAAACGCCGGGATGACTGCGGACCATTAAATCTAGAGATATAGTCGTCTGCGTCGAAGGCAGCTCATCTTCTGGCCGTGTTCTGCCGCTTAAGCATACTGTCCGCGTTTGCGCCTACGATAAAGTGACTCGAGCCCATTGCCGGATGAGAAGGGAGTTTAGTATGCCCGATCCTGCTTTTTTCATCTCGTCCGGCCCAAACGCCGACCGTCTTCATCCTTCAGATGCACCTGGGACCACAAGGTTGAGTCCGCGGACCTGGCACCCCATATTGGTTGAGGATACGCGCTCCGGCCTTGTCCTTGCCTCGGACTTCGGAAGGTTGAGATTACGCACCCGGGCGGGGACCGCGTGCCTGGGCCTCTACACTGGTCGAGGATAAGCGCACCGGCCTCGTCATTGGCTGCGACTTCGTAAGGCAGAGACTATGCACCTGGGCGGGGACTGCGCATCTGGCACCCCATATTGGTCGGGGATAAGGCTGCTGGCCCCGTGACTGGGACCCCATATTGGTTAAGGATAAGCCCTCCGGCCTTGTCCCGGACTCCGTCTCTTCCAGCTTTGAAACCACACGCCTGGGACCCCACATTGGTTGAGGACAAGCCCTCCGGCCTTGTCCCGGACTGACACCCTATAATTGTCGAGGATAAGCCCCCGGCCTTGTCCCAGACTCTGCTCCTTCGACTTTGAGGCCACGCACCTGGGACCCCATATTGGTTGAGGATAAGCCCTCTCGTCCCGGACTGGGAGATTATTTGGGTTGAGGATATGCCCTCCAGCCTCGTCCCGGACTGGGACCCCATGTTGGTTGAGGATAAGCCTCCGTCGTCGTCCGCGGCGTGCTTTCTTGAGGTTAAGACCACACTCCTCGGACCCCATAGGGGTTGAGGATAAGCGCTCAGGCCTTGTCCTTGCCTCCGACTTCGTAAAGTTGAGACCATGCACCTGGGCGGGGACCGCGCACCCGGGACCCCATATGCCATATTGGTTGAGGATAAGCCCTCCGACCTCGTCCCGGACTGGGACCCCATGTTGGTTGAGGATAAGCCCTCCGTCGCCGTCCCCGGCCTGTTTTCCTGAGGTTGAGACCACACCTCTCGGAGGCCATATTGGTTGAAGATAAGCGCTCCGGCCTTGTCCTTGCCTCCGACTTCGTAAGGTCGAGACCATGCACCTGGGCGGGGACCACGCGCCCGGGCCTCGTATGAATAAGCCCTCCGGCCTCGTCCTGGACTGGGACCCCATGTTGGTCGAGGATAAGTCCTCCGGTTTCCCGGACTCCGTTTTCTCGAGGTTGAGACCATACACCTGGGGCACCGTATTGCTCGAGGTTGAAGGGTGGATGAATACGTTGAATGAGTTCACCTTGCCTCCTTGCCTCGATCGAGAACTGTCGGCTGGTCGGAGGCGGTGAAGCAGCGCACTGATTGAGCTGGCAGGCCTTGCAGTCCCATTCTGGTTGCAGATAAGGTCACCGGACAGGACGTAAGACGATCTACGTATTCTCGCAACTCACCTTTCTTCCGTGTCATCGATGCGTGACGTGTGAAACAATGCTCTTCAGCTAGGTGTCTTACAGCGAACATGTTCCCTGAGCATTGTTAGGGCTTCAGCTGCGCGCTCGGCCACGATCTTTGCTGCTTCATGCTTCTGTTTCCGGAGTTCCTCTTGCTTCTGCTTCCGGAGCTCCATCTTCTCTTTCTGCATTTTCTTCTTCTCGAAAGCCCAAAGGTTCGTGATGCAGAGACGGATAGTCTTCTTGGTGTTTCTCGGGAGTCCTTGTAGATCTTGGACTGAGAAGTATTGGAGTCGCCGTCCAAAGTCAAAATCATCTGCGATTCTCGAAGCCAACATCGGGTACCTGGAGAGTGCACCAATCAGGGCTAGGTGCCCTAGCCTCAGTGCCCAATCCGAACCTCTCGTGAACTTTGAAATGGCCAGCTTGAGGTTGTGGGGTAGGCGTGTCCATTTCTTTGCTGCTGCCCGGCAAGTGCAGATTAATGCACCGAAGAGTATTGGTGTATCCATCGCGTCGAGCTGCTGGAACTACTGGTTGGTACCGCACGCCTGAGCCCCAGTTGCAGCTGTGCCACAGGCTCAGTTGCTTTCCTTTTGAAGCCACCGGTCCATGATCCAACTAGGCAGGAACATGCGTGCGTAGCTGACTGTGCGATATCTCGATCACGACGATTTATGAATTTATGAACTGCTCTTGCGTAGTCATGTGTCGGCGGGCAAATAGGTCTACGAAGGTCCTACACATCGAATATACACGTTTAGCGTTCCGTGCAGGACGTTAATCTGTATACTGGTCCCGGCCTCCGTCTTTGTGAGGTTCAGGCCTCGCGCTTGGGAGCACGCACCTGGGGCCCATATTTGTTGAGGGTGTGTTCTCCGGTCCTGTCCCGGTCTCCGACTTCGTAAGGTTGAGACCGTGCAGCGCTGGGCGGGGACCACGCAGCCGGGACCGCGTATTGGTTGAGGGTAAGCCCTCCGGCCTTGACCCGGCCTCCGTCTTCTTCCCAGGTTGGGACCACGCACTTGGGACCACGCACCTAGGAACCCATCTTGGTTGAGGATAAGCTCTCCGGCCTTGCCCCTTCTTTCGTCTTCTTTCCAGGTTGAAACCATGCACCTGTTGAGGATAAGGGCTCCGGCCTCGTCCCCGCCTCCGTCGTCTTCTACCCCAGGCTGAAACAGTGAAGAAGGCACCACTCCAGACAACGTTCACTGGCTTCCTTTTCCTCCGATTAGCGCGCGAGCAGCACCGGTCCTATTCTAGTTGGTTCAGCTAGCTCACGTAGTGCCCAGAGTTCTTGAGCAAAATCGGAAGTTCTTTGTACTGGCAGCAGCTGGACCTCAGCGGAGCTTCAGGCACACTGGCTTCCGAGCTCGGAGCCCTCATGGGGATCGTTGGTGCCTTGCTGTGCTCTGTGGAAGCTGGAGCTGGGCTGCCAGCAGCGAACTCATTGGTGATAGTAGTGGTATTCCGGCCAGATGTCCACCCTGTGTCGTGGGGAGGGAAGGGGAAGGGGGGGAGCGTGCTCTATGCTGCGTTCGGAGGGAAGGGGATGTCTGCATGGCGCCGAGGGCGAGGCGCGATGAGTCTCCACGGAAGGGGAACATCCGCAGCCCACGGTGCTGTCTTTGCTTCCATCTGGCAGGCGACAGCGGCGTGAACTTGATTTTCTGGGACCTGCGGCTGACGTGCCTGCTTGCTCATCGCGAACTGCAATTGGTTCGCGATGTCCGGTGGAAGCGGCGGCACCTCGGCTCGCGTATACCGTATCCTTGCCTAACTGGTGTGGATGCTTTGCTTGCTGGGGTCGCAACTCGGAGGAAGTGCATTACCTCGAACAGCAGGGCTCGGCAACATACCCTTCTGTCCTCCATCGTAAACTCCTGGGCAATGCGGGGGTTGCCGTTCTACTGTTCTTGCTTTCGCGGGCCGGGCCTCCAAGATTCGCCGGGCAACGCAACGCGATCCGCCAGTTCTCGGGCCTGAAGCAGCTTGCGTTTATGTAAAGGTTCCTGATTCGTGACGGGGCCCGCCTCCATCCGCAGCGGGTGATTTGCCAGCGCCAACTGGTCTGACGGCCCATCGCTGCCGAGATGGTGCTTCAACTGCCCGACCGCGCTTTCCACTCATTGCCATGCATGCTGCCTCGAGCGCCCCGGCCTTGGTCTTGGTGCACCCAGGCAGGTCGCAAAACCGCTGCACCAGCTCCGCGATGCTGTCACGGCTGTTGCCTTTTGCGTGTGTGAATCGATGGCCCAATAATCTAGGGACGGGGCTTAACATTGCCGTCTCCTCGTCCTGTACCCGGGGCTGCTCGCTTGACGCCTTTACTGTAGGCCGTCGCCTTGTCGAGTGGATGGGAACGGCTGCTAGCTTCTTTTCTAGTGGCTTGAGC